ATTCTTTTTTACCAAATCTTTTTTTAATATCTTTAATCTTTAAAAGATAATATATTCATTATATTATTTTAAAATTACAGTCGGCGCTCGATAGTGAACCTACTATATAGTAAATCATACGATATAGTGAAGTTGGAAAATTTCCCATTTCATTACATATAAATTTTGCTTGATATAGTGAATTTTAATATAAACTCTCGATATAATCATATAGTGAAGTTTTACTGGTACCCATTATATTAACTAGAGCTCGATATAGTGAAGTCTTTATAAAATTTTGTCGATCATTACTTAATTGTATTAAATAATAATAAATTTTGAATTTAGTAATTTGTCGCAAAAAAATTTTTTCATTAATATGAATTTGGTAGTTTGTTGCAAAAAATTCTTTTAAAAGTATTATGCAGGAGATTGAATAATTAAATTTAGTAATTGAATTAGTAATGTGTCGCGAAGAAAAACAAAGTAATGAATTTAGTAATGTGTCGCGAAAAATAAATAATTGAATTGGTAATGTGTCGCAAAAAGTTTTTTACTGAATTTCTTATAAATGAAAGAACTAGGAATTGTACTTTTTTTTGTAATAATTTATTAAAAAATCATTTCAGCTAAAAATTATTTTCTCGAATTTTAATAAAAAAAAATAAAAATGTCATCAATTGATCAATCAAATAAAAAAAGAAAAGTTTTGACTTGGGGTGAAAAAAACAACTTTGTGAATTTAATGAAAGAAATCCATCATTCACATATAAAGAACTTGGCCAACAATTCAGAATTGCAGAACCTACTGTTTGCAAGATTTTAAAAGATAAAGATAAATGGTTATCTATCAACCCCAATGATACCAACAGACAAAAAGATAAAGCTGCAAAATATCCTGATCTTGAAAGTGCATTGATGATATGGTTCAATCAAGCAAGTTCAGATAAAAGAGTAATTACAGGCGATGTAATTCTCACTAAAGCTAAAAGATTTGCTGAATTACTAGATATTGATGATTTTAAAGGTTCAGATGGTTGGGTGTCGAATTTTAAGAAAAGAAATAATATAAAGCAGTATGTTATGCATGGTGAAGCAAGCTCTGCACCTTCCGAAGAAATTCTTTCTGAAGAAAGAAGAAGATTACAAGAAATAATCAAGGAATTTCCTTTAGAAAATGTTTATAATTGTGATTAAACTGGTAAAATAATTCAATATAATTATTATTATATCATTTATAATAGACTAACTAAGTATTTATTTTATTAGGCTTGCTCTGGGATTTAGAACCTTCAAAGACATTATCAACTGGGTCCTCTTTCTGGTATTAAAAAATTGAAAAAAAGAATAACCTTTTTACTGACCATGAATGCAACAGGAACTGAAAAACTTCCCCTTTTATTTATTCATAAGTATCAAACACCAAGAGACATGCTTGGAGTTGACAAGTCAAAGCTTCCAGTTGATTACTA